TTGATTTAGTGGTGAACTGTTGTTGTAGGTTTGCTTATTTGCAACCATCTCATTCCAAATGGCAACTTATTAAGGGGTGCATTTGATACGCAAACAAGAGTGGGCAGGAGTGATTTAGGCTGGTAAAAGAATTATGCCAGGTTTTTAAGGTTTAATTTGACATGGTTAGTTTAGTAATTTACCAATCTTGTCTCATCTTATTATTTCTGTAGTACCACCTATTTTGTTGGTACAAGAATAAACATTTGTATCACATTCAATCCTACCTTGTCCTAATCTAATGTTGCACGAAACATCAGACACCAACTTCGTATTATATCCTATTATAAACTGTCCGTGTATCAAACACACCCTTGAAACATACAGAATATGAAGCGATTATGGTCTCTAACCACCTCCAACGAAAACACCAACAAAATGAAATAACATCTAGTCTAGAGAGTAGACGTGTTCACATGTAACTGAAAGACAGAGGCGCATAAATCTTACCTTTATACCTAACTTTTGAATATAATATACTGGGTTTGTTTGATTTAACTGATATAACATTTAAAAAAAAAAAAGAAGTCAAAAAGCATAGTATGAGGAAGGGGGGGGGGGGGGGGGGGGGGGGGGGGAGACCCCTACCAATCCTATCAGGTTTGTGCATGAATTAAGAGATGGACAAGAGTTGAAGAATGGTTGACCAAGTAAACTTAAAGAATAGACATGAGGCCATCCATTAGTGCACATGTGCTACCAAATCATTACTCTCAATTCTGTCTGACAACTTCCCTAAGAAACAAACACCTTTTGGCCCCATAAAAGAAACCACCCATGGCCTTCATGCTACTGAGAAAAATGATTGAAATAGTCTTCCAGCAGCAACCATACTAAATCAACTATTTAATCACTTTGTAATTAAATAATAATTCAAGAATTTTATGACCACCAATAATAATATAACTTTATTTCATCCTCCTAAATTTATTCTGACTTTTTTTTCTTGATAAATGTGTTATTTTAACTTTTAGTTAATTAAGTAATAACATTTAATCTACTGTTATATATATATTTGAATCGAACAAAAATACCACAATAATAATAAACAACCTTGAGGATTATATTTGAGTCGTCTAATTACATATATACTGAATGTGACTATTCAAATATGATTTTTCCGTTTTATTTGACCACTTTTGGACATTTGACTCCTGGTGAATAGTTAAACATATAGTCCAACTTCCTTTTTTTTATAATCATGAAATACGATGACATACACTTGAATCAGATGTAACTCTTCTTTGAAATATTGACATGATGCACAACACGATTTGGTAACACCCAACAATATCAAACCCAACACATGTTACAAGATAACTCTTAGGGGACGTTTGCTTCACATAATGAAATTTGATGGAATTGGAATCCATCAAAGGAATTTGACTTTGAAGGAATAAAAATGTAATGTGATGAAATTTGAGCACGAGTTTGGTTGATGAGAATTAGAATGGAATCTTGCAAAAGAATGCATTTGTGTGTGTGTGTGTGAGGAGGGGGAGGGGG